CCACTAGAGAAATATTTTTTATAACATGTAATATTCCTGCTGAATGACAAGGTGAGAAATTTTGTGACAAGAGAAGAATGTGGTTTGCAAGATGATGTTGTGATCAGGATTAAGAAATGAATGTTTCGGTGGTTTGGTCATGTGAAAAGAATGAATGAGGAAAGAGTGACAAAGAAAATTTATGTTGCAGAAGTGAATGGCAGAGTCGGAAAGGGACGTCCTAGGTGAAAATTTATCGACCTAATTAGCGATTTATTGAAAACGGGCCAAATTAGGAGTACCCTTAACCGACGAACATGTATGCGTAGGTAGGGTAGGATGTGAAGGAGGCGAGAGAGGTGTGTCAGGATCATGCCAAATAGAAGTCTGTAGTCTCTGCCTACGCCTCTGGGTGACAGTCGTGTGTGTTTATGAATATAATATTCCCTCAGCACCCGAAACCAGCTTCAAACTAGGCGAAATATTTTATTTTACCCAGCATTCGCAGCAAAAATATTATTATTGAATGACGAACTACGAGCATAACTTCATATCTTATTTTAACGATGGTCAATAATAAACACTTATTATAATAATCTGTAATAGACCTTATTCTCTGTTGAACTAAATTTAGATTGAAGCCTGATGCTACCGGAAAATGTATTTACTACTCGTTTAAAAGACCTATTTCCGTAAAATTCATCAACAAACAATCAGACAATAAAGAGTACTGCATTAGAAAAAATACATGTATTTCATCTGTAATTTTATGGTTAATGTTAATGCTGTGATAAGTTTTAATCGTTTTATTATTTCTGTATTTGAAGAAATGTGGTATTTTGTTAAAAAACTAAAAAAAAGTATATAACATCGTCATATCGTTAGAGCCTATCAGAAGTCTACTGCTCAACATAGACCTCCCTATCCCATCGATTACCTCAAAGGGGGATTTGCAATAATTACCATAGTAGTCATAGCGTTTTCGTCAATACGGTACTGTCTGTAATTTTATGCGGGGACAATTATTATTGTAATTTTTAAGTTTAAAAATAGTATACCTATATCAATAATGTGATTAAAATTACTTATATATGAAAGGTATTTTGGTAAATTTGACGTTTAAGGTCTCTTTTTGTTGCAAAAACCTAAACATTGCGGCATTTTTGTAGGATTCAGCTAGGGAACTAGATTTAGTCTAGAAAGTAGTGTGGCTGCAACTAGTTTTATTGTACACATAGGACCGCGTGGACTTATATTTTGACAGAGGGGATCGAATGCGTACTGTGTGTCACTATTACCCTCTGACTCGTATTGCTCTATGTAAACACCGATACAGACTGATAAACAAATTTAAAAACTTTAAACAATTTGATTCCGTAATCAAGACATACATAAGATAAAATAATTTCTAAAACTAAATTCAAACATTATAGATAAAATATTTCATTTTATTGATGTTCATTATAGAATATATTATGATTTTAAAAGTTGTTATGGTTGCTTAGAAACGTTATTTTTTCTATTTTTCTAGCAATTTTGCGATATTTTATAAAACATTCATTTTATTATTCCATTAAATAAAAGTCCGATATAACTTGTTTTAATTAACCTTACAATCATCGAACGACGTGAAAATGATTTATGAAATGTAATAGGTTGGCATCTAGTATTGCGTTGAAAGGGTTGCGTACCTTATATTCAGAATCACCAAACGGTATTCGCTGAAGGTCATACATGTTTACGCGTCAACGTCGGAACATCCCAATGAGGAGGTGGAGGAAATGTATGAGGATATTTCTAAAGCCATGCATTCCTCCAAAACTCACTATATGGTGTTAATGGGAGACTTCAACGCAAAACTGGGCACAAGAAAGAACGGTGAGCTGAAGGTAGGGAAATTCGGGATAGGGCAACGGAACCCAAGGGGCCCCCAGCTGGCCGACTTCATGGAGAAAGAGGGACTCTTTATGATGAACCCTTCCTTCCAGAAGCGGCCTCACCGAAAGTGGACCTGGTCGAGCCCCGACGGTTCGACAAAAAATGAGATTGACTTCATTATGACGACAAGACAACAACCGTTCAGTGATGTCTCAGTGATCGCAAGGGTGAAAACTGTCAGTGATCACCGAATGATTAGAGGCACACTGAACCTAAACGTTAAGTTGGAGAGGTCTCGTCTAATGAAGTCAACGCTCCGTCCCCCTCGTGCTCTAATCCAGAATCCCGAAACCTTTCAGCTCGAGTTACGTAACCGCTTTCAGTGCCTAGAAGATTGCAATGCAGTGGACGATATGAATGACAAGCTCGTGGAAACTGTCCATGCAGTCGGAGCTAAGTTTTGCAAAACCCGCCGCTGAAGAACACAAAAACTCTCCGATCACACTCTTAATCTCATGGCTGTTAGACGGGAGATGAGGCTGCAATCGTCAACAGATTTGACATCATATAGGCAACTGAACAGACAGATCTCCAAATGCATGCGGCAACTTTAATACTGCTCGTATTAAAGAAGCGATCGAGCGGAACCAGGGCTCTAAAGTCTTTGCCAGAGATCTTTTTGCCAGAAAGAGCCAACTGTCAAAGCTGAAGACTGAGTGTGGCAACATCGTTTCCGGGCACATGAGATTTTGAGTGAGTTTGAGAGGTTCTATGGGCAGCTGTACACATCGTCGTTGGAGTCACACGCAAGTGTGAGTTACTATCCAAGAGCAAGTCTTATCCGATACTATTCCGATGATATCCCGGACGTCAGTCTGAGCAAGATTAGAATGGCTCTCCAGCACCTTAAAAACGGTAGGGCCACAGGCGAAGATGGAATTACAGCAGAACTTCTGAAAGCGGGTGGAACACCGGTACTTGAAGTCCTTCAGAAGCTCTTCAATTCCGACGGTAAGTCCAACTTCGACCGAGAGGTCAATCGACGCAACGGATTCAACTCGGCTGGGCAGCGTTCGGGAAATTACGCCACATCTTCTCGTCAGGTATACCTCAAACTCTGAAAACTAGATTGTACAACCAGTGCGTGTTGCCAGTGATGACTTACGGATCTGAGACGTGTTCCTTCACTGCTGGCCGTATGAGGACGCTCAAGGTCCCTCACCGAGCTATGGAGAGGGCTATGCTCGGAGTTTCTCTGCGTGATAGACTCAAAAATGAGGATATCCGCAGTAAAACCAGAGTGACCGACATAGCTCAACGGATTAGTAAGCTTAAGTAGCATTGGGCCGGCCATATAGCTCAAAAAACCGATAACCGATGGGGAAGAAAGGTTGTCGAGTGGCAGCCTCGTACTGGTAGACGTAGTGTAGGATGAGCCCCCACTAGATGCAGTAACGACCTGGTAAGACATGCAGGAAGTCGATGGATGCAGGTGGCTCAAGACCGTGCTTTGTGGCATTACTCGAGGGAGGCCTATGTTCGGCAGTGGACTTGTGAAGGGCTGTAATGATGATGATGATCTAGCATTAGGCTACATCTCTAAATTTATATAGCTAGCCCTAACTATTGGTCTTTGTTATGCAAGTCGGAAGAAAAAGCGCTCCCGAACTGCTTTATCCGCGTGCGCTTGTGTAATACGTACGTAAATACAATGTTCTAGAAAAATATAGATCTTTACTTCATTTTGAAAAAACGTTATCAAATCTGATGTGATGAGGGGGATGATCTTGAACATTTTCACAAACTGCAGACTTCCAGTGCAAACACGTTCAAGATCGTCCCTACCATTACATAAGATTTGTTAAATCACAAATCTTCGCAAAAGAATTCCAATTCCTGCCAAGGATGATACACGAAGCTATTGTAATTAAAAAAATATCCCAATTTCAATAGAGAAGATGGATGGGTGCTGTCATCTGCCATGTATCCTATAATTATTAAATTTAAATCCAAACCCAAGCATACCACTGCAAGACTTCAAGATACTATAGGCTCGTTCTGCGTAGATCGGACCAAAAATTAATATTCAAAAACTAAAGGTAGTGCCCCGTAACCATGGGTGCTGTAAAGCACCCGAAAAGCCGGGAATTAAAACAAGTTAATAAAGTTTAACAAATCAATATAACTGTGAATCTTAATTGATCATGTAATGGGGGTGTAAGAATATCCCATATCGTTCCGTAGGTATTGTAAGCTAATTGGTTGGTGAAATAGGAGATGGACAGTATCATCTTCCTCAGAACAACTCAAAACCATAAAAATATTGAATTGGCCAACCGCTTATCAAATGTGGCAATTGGCAACTATGAAAAAATAACACTTCTATGAGACTGACAGGTAGACAGAGCAGTGGAATTGATAATTGTGAATCTAAATTGCAAAAAATCAATTAAACTCGCTGCCATTTTTATAACCTTTTCTGATGGTGACGTTTAAAGAAGGCTGATTAGAAATATTCGATTTTTATGATAGGATTTATTATTTTTAAATTTAATAAAAACTCGCATAACTTCATGGGTTGATAAGTAATAAGACTTTCTATATAAAACAAATTACAAACATGAACATGTTGCTTTGAACAGCGAAAAAACATTTTACTTTGAATGAATTGAATATGGAATTTGATTTTACCGCAAACGATCTCAGGTGACTTTTATCCTTGAAGCTTTTTGCAATATTTCAATTACAGAGTTAAATTACGGGCTTTATTCAAAATAGTGTAGGAGAATGAGGCGATAGCTATGGCATCAAATGACCTTTGGAAATAGGTACTCACTTTTACTAAGCACAGATAAATCTATTTTCAATTAACTATCATACGTTATGACTGAAGATCTGATTCATGAATTTAACTTTAAATTCAAATTAAAAACTACTGTTCTGTCTATTGGGTGAAATTAGTCAAGCTCATGTTGCAACATCCATAATTTGAAGGCTCTGCAACCTTACAGGATTCGTCATTATTGTAGCTATTTAATGTAAATAAGTATATGCTATTTTATTATATTTAACTCAAACCTGTACTTATAAAAAATGTTACTTATGAACTTTTATCTATGGCTTAGCAAAGAGAACATACTATTTTAATCGGTCTGGAAAAAAGTTTAATTTATACGCATACACAGAAATCGTAATAATAAGACAATAGAAGTTGCATAGACGCGTGACCTTGTTGCCGTTATTATGTGTTGACGAACATGAATCACCATTTTGTGATTTAGTTACGAAATGTGATTGAATTTATGTTATTATAATGGTGAACTGCAATATGATAGTAAAAAAGTAATAAAAACTCATCAAAGATGTGTAATTCAACTAATAAAGGCATCGGTAAATTGATTTTTTACTAATTACCATTGTTTTAACTAATTTACTTCTAAGTGAATATTTTACTATGATATTTACCGTTGTAAATTTTCATTTATTACTTTTTGTATTGACAATTACCATTGCTGCGTTTTTCTATCGTAATACACGATTTACGCGACGTAGACAAATTTGCCAAGCAATGTAATGTGAAACATTAGATATCATTGTGCACTGCGTATGTTTGTAATACGGCTGCAGGTGGCGACATCGGTTTTGGAAGTAATCGAGCGCTAATTCATTTCTATCATCTTATTATTACTATTTCTGTACATAAGATATTGTGTACGTTAACGCAATTGTTAAATATAGTCAAAGTGATGTCTGTTAGCCAAGTAGTACTTAATGTTAAAACAGATTTTTCCGCGTAGTATTGCATAGATTGTGTCTTACCACTGATACTGCTATGCGTATTACCACAGAATAAATAACAGCGCAAGTAAAAAGCTAAATTACATTGAAAATAAAAACGTGAAACTAGGTAGTTACAGACAAGAACTATGATAAATTAATGAGAAAGTGAACTTTTAGGTGTAATTTACAGACACAGTTGTAAATAAAGAAAATTTGTAATAAAGCTATATGATGTGTACTTACGTCAGTAACATTGCTTCTTAAATAATGTCCACTGTGGATTAAAGTGTCCAAATGGTCAAGCTCCTTGCTGCCTTTCAGAGTTACTTGCAAAGAGGCCAAGCAGTATTTGCCTCGGACTGTGCCGTCGATGTCCAAACATTCATCGAAGTCACCATATTGGTTTGCATTACCGCTTAAAATGCCTGACGGTGGTTTCGCTGTGGCGTCAAACACTGGAACAAACATTGAACCAAGTAAGTTGACGGAAATGGTTAATGAATAGACGGTACAGTAATAATTTGTGATTGTGGTCGAAATTAGCCAGGATAACATTGTATTATATTCACTAAAAATAAATAATTCAAATATTTTAATATTTCACGCCGCAGATCATGGGTTTGAATCCCAGCCGGTATTGTGTTTTCGGAGTTTAGTTTTGTTGAGATTGTCCCCGTATCTCTGAAACTATATCTCAGCCTCACAGATCTTCACACATATTGGACACGAATGCCAAACTCACTTGTCACATATCAGACACGATTAAGTTACAAATGAGTGCTCGTTCTCTGTAGACACATCAAAAAAGTTTGTGATCATCAGTAAAAATTAACTTTATCAAGAAAAATTGTTAAGGTTTTCTTTTTTTAAAATTGAAATACACTGTTTGAAATTTAAAAAAATAACTCTTTTTTATATTTTAATAACAAAAATTGAGTAATTCTGTCGTAATGTAAATGTAACGGAAATTTGATGGAAAGAGAAATATTGTTTAACCAAACTTATACAACAATTTATTCATAGAAGGTTTTTATTTAATACAATATAACTCTTCCCCCGACTAGAACTGAGGGAGATCTTCTTTGGCTTGCTGAGCATTAAGTTATCCAGCATTTTTGCGGTATCCTGTCCCATTCTTGAGGAGCGGTTTCCCTGATCTTTGAGACTATCTGAGGAGGTGGATGACGATACAAACAGCTTGTTTAAGAGCACCCCACGTGTGTTCTATTGGGTTTAAATCAGGTCAGCCGGCAGACTAGTCTATGTGATGTTGTATTTTCGGAGAACAACATTAACGCGTTGAGCTCGAAATGCGGGCGCATTATCATCAACCAGTAGGAATTGGTGCCCATGGTTCACTCGGAATGGTCTGACAATTCCATCAAAAGCGACTGTTCTGTACCTATCTGCCGTCATGAAGCCTCGATATGGTATCAAAGGCGTTCTAGCTATATTTCCATCCCAAAAGGACACCGATTCCCCGCCTTGCTGAATGGTCCAGTGGCAGTTCTTTGCTTTTCAGAGTCTTCGGGTCTTCTCCACACACGAATACGTCGGCTATCTGGAGCACTGATTCGTGATTCGTCAAAGAAGAGACAGTATTACCAAATGTTTTCCTCTTCATCTTCTTCTATTTACCGGAGCCTGGCCCAATGAAATGTCCATCGCTGACGTTACCGTGAATTCAGAAGTGCTTGCGAAGAACTCCGTGCTCACAGTGCAGCCTGGTGTAAGCAACGCCGAATGGGCTGAGTGCCAACTTCAAGTCCAGTAGCAGCCCGCACTTTTGATTTTCTTGTAGTGGCGTTGATTGTTCGGACACGGGCTGCCAAAAATCTGATATAGCGCTTCTGAGCAGCAGTCAGAACAGTTTGGCGACCACTGCGAGGTCGGTCAGCTAAATTATCCTTGCCGCGGTACCTCTGCAAAGTGACCACGACACATGATTGGGATATAGCAAACCTGCGTGCTAATTCTCTCGTGGAATATCCTTCTTTCCTCAAAGTTACAATTCCCGCTCATAAAACTTTTGATAACACTCTTGGCGTTTTTTAATCCTCCTCGAAAAATATTTTAACTTATAATTAATATTTTACATCCGTTAAAATTGATTAAGTCAGAATTTTGAATGAGCTTGGACTTAATTTAATTTTATACAGAAAACAATTGAATTTGTTCTATTTTTTATATTCTAATTCTATATTATAAGTAAAAAATCTAAAAAGATGTAGATATTATAATATAGACTACCGTAACAAAAAAAAATCGTTTTTTCCAAACTGTTAACAAACTTTTTATGATGTGTGTACGTATCATAGGTATGTACACTTGTAGCATTGAACCTAATATTTGTAGTTGATAGTTTCCGTTTATTGGGAAATTGAGCCAATATTGAATTACAATTATTCGGAAAGAAAATAAATACAATCAGGATGTGATATAACAGGCATGATTTAATATACATATTATTATAAGAAGAAATATTAATATGTGGTAGAACCATGCTGTAGCTGTATTAGTATAATATAATATATATAATAGTTGTAGCACGAATCGGTTCGACCGGGGAAAGACCACGCTCTCATGGAATACCAGCGCAAAATAGCAGCTGAACGCTGCTGTGTTTTTTATATAGTGAGTGTAGAGAACCGGAGACCTTTTCACTGGAAAAGAGGCATTCCATCAGGTAACAACGCATCTGCAATTTAATTCGTGATCGAGAATGATGTAGATGTGTATAAGCCGCAGCCTCCATTTGCCATCAGGTGGACTGTTTATTCATTTGTCACCCTTATCCTATAAAAAAGACGCTCGACGAGTTTTCACCTCTTTAATGTCGACATTTTACATATTCTAGTTAACGGAAAGGTTTACTTCATTGATCGTATTGCGTACAGAAAAAGAGGGGAATAGCTTACTAGACTTTGCCTATCCATCCGATCACAACGTAGATATGATGTAAGGTAAGAGTAAATAGTTAAATACTATGAAAAGTTAGCGCCAAAGATTATATATAATATAAGAATCTGTCCTGTATAGGACCAGCGTCGTTAATCATCTTTTTCAAACTCTGGTTTATCTCTGGTCCGGACGACAACTTATTCCTTGCTTTGTATTCTTTAGTTATAGATTTCTTCGTATATTCGTAAGAGAAGGCCAAATTAGCCTCTATAAAGCTTGGCGTGCTCAGCAGAGCGGGACAGTATTTCATGCCGGCACAATGCCTGCAACTTTACAAGGCGCAGGTTCGGCCGCAGATGGAATACTGTTCCCATCTTTGGGATGGGGCTCCCCAGTACCAGCTCCTTCCACTTGACCGCATCCAGCGCAGAGCGGCTCGAATCGTCGACGACCGAGTGCTTTCCGATCGGCTCGATTCACTGGCGCTACGAAGAGATGTTGCATCTCTTTGCATTTTCTTTCGCATATATCATGGGGAGTGCTCTGAGGAATTGTTCGGATTAATCCCAGCCGCCAAATTTCGTGAATGCACTACGCGGTAAACGTCCCGAAACCATCCACACCATCTTGATGGCGGTCTACCACGGTACGTTTCAAAAGGAGTTTTCTTCCGCGTACAACCTCTCTGTGGAATAGTTTACTACCGGCGATTTTTCCGGACCGATACGACCTGGGGACCTTCAAGAAAAGAGCTCACTCCTTTCTAAAGGGCCGGCAACGCACCTGCAATTCCCCTGGTGTTGCGGTTGATCATGGGCGGTGGTACTCACTTAACATCAGGTGAGCCGCATGCTCGTTTGCGCCCTCTTCTATAAAAAAATAAAAAATTGTGTAGTTGGCAGGAGTGGTATGGAGATAAAAACAGGTATGTATGAAAAGAATGTGAGTTAAGGTAAAAGTAAAAGTAAAAGTAAAATCTAAGTAAAGTCATTCAGTGAGGAAACGCAGCCAGCGTTTTTGGCACTAAATCACGTGGCATAAGACTATAAATTCAATAATTTAGAGTTTTGTTTTCATATGGTAAAAATGTTTTATATTTTAATTTTACATAAATGCATTAAAAACTATTAACTTGCATGCGCTGTGAGTTATTTCTGTAAACCTGTAGCTGTAGCACGAATGTGTCGCCTCGACCGGGGAACGACCACGCTCTCACAAAATACCGGCGTGAAAAAGCAGCTTAATGCAGCCTATTACTGGAAACGAGGCATTTTAATTTTTAATCTTAATCGAAGATAAATGTAGATGTTTATGAGCCACAGCATCCACTTACCATCAGGTGGATTGTGTAGGCACTCGTTTGTCACCCCTATATATTATAAAAAAATAGCAATGCATAAATAAGTTTAAAATCCACATGTATAGGTCTTGACATTTGAATGAAACGGAACGTTGAAACGACAAAATTGTAGTTAAGTAATGGGGAGGAAACTTCGGAGAGAGTTGTACAAACGATATTGTAGACCAAGAGTCGGAACTTCTTTGATCTTTAGCGGAAGGAAGGAGCTATTTGAAACGTAATACGAAATTGGTCTCGAGAACGACGAGACATTTTGTCGATGAAAGCCATTCGTACATGGAGTATGTTTGGTTATTGATATTTAATTATTATTTCATTTGATACAGCATGTCTTTTTAACGTTTTACGTAAGATCATCAAGCTGTCTTTACCAGTGGGAAAAGAATTATAATAAATTACAAATTGAAATTGAATCTCTTGACATAAATTATACTCGTAAATGACCGTCGCTAGCCTAAAATCTCTTGTATTTGTATTTCACTTTTAAAATCATTAAAAGTTCTAAGTAGTTTTTAATAATCTTAGTTATTTTACCTCGAATCTAGCCACTATCCTGTTTCTAGGTAAAAGGTTCTAAAGTCGAGAATGTTAAGCATACTAACCTAGAAAAACCTCTTTCATTCATGCCTTTAAGACACCATAGTTATACGGGTCGCGAAACAAAGCCGTCGCCGGAGAAATCCAGCCCTCAACTATGCGAATTAAAAAGTAGGAGCGGAAGCGTTTCTGTATACATAAGGCATCAAGTAGAGTACATTGAACGTATAATATTGTTGATTTAACAATTATAATTTATCATATAAAGTTTTATGAGGCTATATGTAATTTTTTAAGACAAATAAAATTAAAAAGGAAAGGAGCATGCTATATTAGCCGTGTGGCGATGTAAGAGAGTCCATCATCTCGTTTCGTCTCGTAGCTGTCATAAGAAGCAACTGTAGGAATATAAAGAAAGATTTCATTACTGATGCCGACAGATGGCGGTACAACCTTTTTATTTACGCCAGAAGTACAACAGCCAAAATGGCGGCGGGAAGCAGCGCCGAAGGTGCGAAACGTCGGTAATACTGTATCTCCAATACGTCTGCCAAGCGTGGTGATTAAGGCAAATCCCCCAACAACGAGGGGACCCATGTCCAGCAGAGACTGAAGCAAAGACTACGAAGCAGAACAACCACGTCTTAATGCTGGTTA